TGGAGAACAGCAGAGTCTTCTGACGTTTGATAAGCTTCGTGTTGAAAATCTTTTACAATGCACACATTTTGTTCTTCACAATAGTCATGATAAAACCAAGCAAAACAAGGCATAGAGCACATCAGAAAAGAATGAAGACACCTGGGGCCTTGGCTGCAGCTAGAGCAGGTGTTGGAGCCCTTAGATGCCTGATTACTGTGTTTGCTTCTGTGTAAATACAAGTTGCTGGGCTAAGCATAAAATGATTGTAATAGATTCATGTAATCATAATACAGTGAAGTTTAACTTGTTAGAGCTTTAAACTTGCAGATGAGGCTTTCCCTGGGGCAGCCTGTCTGATTGTCGTTGCTGTGCCTGACCTACTTAGCTTTTTCAGAAGGTGGCTGAAAAGCCTCCCAGGATATAGCAATCCCCTGAAAACCCAACAGGAGTAACTTTCCATAACCCACGATTCATTGTGAGGGGCAACCTTGTTCATGCTTAGAACTCTCACCCAGGCGTGAGTCACATGATTACTTCCTAATAACTCAGCAGAGAATTCTTAACAGTGGGGTGTCTAGAGGGTTTTGCGTCCAGAGGTGTTTTGTCTGCTAGAGGCCGGTGAGGCAAGGCGAGCCAGAGAGCCCACCGCCACTTCTCCAGACTTCTGCATGGGACCCGCAAGTCACGTGCTTGAATGTCTTCTCTCGAGTAACTGACACGTTCCTCCTCTGCTTGGGTTAGTGGCGGGAATGAAAGGACGCGATGCTGGCTTTGAAAGGAAATCCTACCTTTTCAGAGAAGCGAGTGGAGTGTCTGTGCGAGAGCTGTCCACCTCTACACGTCACCTATTGACTGCTAGAGAGCAAGTCAGTGGGGGCAAGACTGTATTTTATGGGGACCTAAGAGATGGGACCTCAAGTGGACGTGCCGGAGTGGAGTGCTGTTCTCTCAGCTGTCAGACTCTCGAGGGCACTGGGGCTGTGGAGTCACCTCCAGAACGAACTCAGGAGGCTTAAGCCAACCCCAGGATTAAGACCAAAGTGGCCTTTCTAAGACAATTCGGAAGCCAACTGAGATCATCCCTCCTGGTTGATGAAAGTGCACGAGAGGAAAGAGAAAAGTTATTAGCAAATGACGAACACCTGCTTTCCTTTCCCAGAAGTCACATTCTTTTTTAGTTCCCCAAGTCCAACCGTGTCACCTTTCTTTCTCTTCCATTCTTCTTTTCTTTTCTAAGGCCCTCCCTTCATCCTCCCCACTTTCCCTGTTTCATTCTTACCCTCCTTCTCTCCCCCTAGACCACCCCACCCTCCTCTGCTCTCTGCCTACAATTCTGCAGCTGTCACCCAAAGCTCATTATCAGCTTTGTAACCAGAGTCCCTAGTGGGCTTATTTAGACCCCAGGGGTTCCGCACCTGACCCGATGTCTGTGACTTCCAAGGATTCTATATGTTTGCTCTGCCTTCGAGAGACCTTTGATCCTTGGTTCATCTCTACAGCCCACCTGACAGTGGTTTTTTTGTTATTATTAATTTATTTTTCATAATTGTGCATTTTTATGGGGTACAATTTGTAGTTTCAATGCATGCATATATTGTATAATGATCCAATCAGAGTAGGTAGCACATCTGTCACACAAACATTTTACCAATTCTTTGTGGTTGTAACATTCAAGATCCAGAGCCTCTTTTCTGGTTATCTTGAAATATAGAATTCAATAGTATTAGCTATAATCTCCCTTCAGCACCAGAATTATCTTCCTATGCAATTGTTATTTTGTAGCTTTGTTCATTTACAACCTCTCCCCGTGCATTGGGGAAAGGACAGTCTTTTCCGTCCCCTTCCCGACCTTTGCTAACCACTATTCTATTCTCTATTTCTTTCTCTTTTTTTTTATTTTAATTTATTTTTCTTAATTGGCCCGTGATAATTTTACATACTTATGGAGTACAGTGTGTTATTTGGGAACGTTTATACAGTGCGCAATGATCATATCAGGGTATTTAGCATATTCGTCCCCTCAAATGTTTGTCACCTCTTTGCATTGGGAACATTCAGAATTTTCTCAGTTAGCTACTTGAAGCTATAAAGTAATTTGTCGTTCACTGTGGTCTCCCTATATTGCAAGAGAAAACTAGATCGTATTCGTCCTATCTCCTCTTTTGTATCCATTGACCACCTCTTTCCCCCACACACTATTTTACTCTCTACTTCTGTGAGATCTACTTTTTCAGCTTCCACACATGAAGTGAGAACATGTGGTATTTCTCTTTCTGTACCTGGCTTATTTCACTTAATCTTCTCCAAGCTCACCCATGTTGCTGTGAACGGCAGGATTTCATTCTCTTTTATAGCTGGGTACTATTCCATTGTGTATACGCACCGTGTTTTCTTTATCCACTCACCCCTGGATGGGCATTTAGGCTGGTTCCAAATCTTGGCTACTGTAAATAGAACCACCATAAACATGGGAGTGCAGATGCCCCATAGACATGTTTTCCGTTGTTTTGGGTATAGACCCAATAGTGGGATTGCTGGATCACCTGGCAGTTCCCTCTGTGGTTGTTTGAGGAAACTCTATACTGTTTTCCATAATGGCTGCGATAATTTACGGTTCCACCAGCAGTGTAGAAGGTTTCCACTTTCTCCGCATCCTCACCAGCATTTATTTTCTGTCTTTTTGATAATAGCCATTCTAACTGGGGTGAGATGGTATCTCATTGTGGTTTTGATTTGCATTTCTCAGATGATTAGTGGTGTTGAGCATTTTTTCATATACCTGTTGGCGATTTGTATGTCTTCCCTTGAGAAAGTCTGTTCAGCTCCTTTGCCCATTTTTTTAATCAGATTATTTGGGGGGTTTTGGTACTGAGTTTCTTGTATATTCTGGATAATAATCTCATGTCAGATATATAGTTTGCAAATATTTCCTCCCATTCTGCAGGATGTCGCTTCGCTCTCTTGGTGGTTTCCTCTGTTGTGCAGGTTTTTAGTTTGATATAATTCCATTTGTTTATTTTTGCTTTTGTTTCCTGTGCTTTTGAGGTCTTATTCATAAAATCTTTACCAAGTTCTATGTCCTGAAGCATTTCCTCTGTTTTCCTCTAGAAGTTTTATAGTTTCGTGTCTTACATTTAAGTCTTTAATCCATTTTGAGTTGATTTTTGTATATGGTGAGAGGTATGGGGTCTAGTTTCATTCTTCTGCCTGTGGATCTCCAGTTTCCCAGCACCATTTACTGAAGAGATTGTCCTTTCCCCAATGTATGTTCTTGGCTCCTTTGTCGAAAATCAGTTGGCTGTAGGTACGTGGATTTATTTCTGGATTCTTGATTCTGTTCCATTGATCTATGTGTCTGTTTTTGTGCCAGTAGCATGCTGTTTTGATTATTATAGCTGTGTAGTATAATCTGAAATCAGGGAGTGTGATGCTTCCACATTTTTTTTTATTGTTGCTGTTCAGGATTACTTTGCTATTCGGGATCTATTGTTGTTCTGTATAAACTTTTGTATTGATTTTTCTGTTTCTGTGAAGTATGTCACTGGTAGTTCAATGCGAACTCCGTTGAATCTGTAGATCTTGTCCCCATTCAGTATAGTATTAGCTGTGGGTGTGTCATATGCAGCCTTCAATGTGTTAAGATACTTTCCTTCTGTACTTAATTTGTTGAGAGTTTTTATCATGAAGGGGTGTTGAATTTTATCAAATGCTTTCAACAATGTTTAATTCTGCATTATAGTTTTTCTACAAAACTAGGATATGTGTGAAAATCAGGTGAGACAAAACGGAGGGGAAGTTTTGGGGAGGATTCTGGTCGACCTCCTTTTACCTCATTACATTTTCATGGAGCAGATCAGAGTCATATCGCCTTTTGGTTTCAAAATCAAAGGCCACCTTGGTTCCTTAAACCTTTCCTTAACAGCCCTATTGCCCATGCCCTCTTTTCATTATGGTCTCCCAATGTTCTGTATGAGGGTATTTCAAATAGTTCATGGAAAAATGGAAATGGAGGGTAACACTAATCTTTCCAACTTGGAAAGTTCATGGAAAGTATTATCTTCCATTTCTATTTTTCCATGAACTTTTTGAAGTACCCTTGTGTACGAACTATTGAGCCAAGTTAAATTTTTAATTTTTCCTTCTCTTTTCACATCCATGGCCTTGATGAATGTGTTTTATTGTCTTAAATGCCAGCCAGTCTAGGAACAAAGACTATTTGAAGTTCCCCTTATGGGTGAAGAGTGTACGTGGACTTTTTTGGAACATCCTAATGGGATACTGAGTGACTGCATCTAGAACTGACGGCAGTAGAGTCTTGCATCTGGGATTCAGCAGTCACTTATCACAAAACAGAGGTCTTCAGCCAGGAAGCCCACGCTTCTTCATTTTCCCCGGCACATGTATAGTGTGAACCTCCAGCCAGCACCAATGAGCATGTTCACACCTACCCATTCACCCTTAATTCACATAAGGTCTCCCTTCTCCCTGTCGCCCCAGAACTCAGTTTTTCGTTGAGCTGTCTTGTCTAGCCAGTGCAACAGCTTCCACAGCCTATCTTGGCTTTCTAACCTACTTTGTAGCTTGCAATTCAGTGGAGTGGAGCTATTTTCTTCAGCAAGAGCAGTAAAAGAGGTAACATGAAATTAATCCACAAAAGCCTCAACAACATCAACAATGTCAATGATGACAGGCTTGTGTATGAATCTTCCTCTGAAAGTCCCGTTTGAAGAATGTAAAACAAAGGTGTGATTGTTCCACTAAGAGAGGCAGAGCGATACACCATATCCAAAGGTTGAAATGATAAATGGTTTTAGATTAACCGGGCAGGGTTTCTTCTGACCAGCAGGTTGCTGTTTTAAAATATCATTCAGTGGCTGCATTGTCTATAGGACAAAAGAAGGGAAGAGTAAGAGGACAAACTAGAGTTTCAGTGCCCCTTGCTAACAGCGACGCTCGTCCTTGAAATGACCTTGGCACAGTTACTGCCATCTGATGACTCTTTCTTCTTTTGCTTTCAGCTCAGGGAGCTGCTTCAGAAGCTGCAGTTCGTCATGACCTACGTGGCTCCCTGGCAGATGGCTTGGGGTTCTTCGTTTCACGTGTTCGCCCAGCTCTTTGCAATCCCTCGTATCCTTTCTGCTTCTGTTTCCACCCCCCAAGCTGGAATTCACATTTTACAGATGCAAGCTTTTCACTGACCCCTGGCAATAAGAAGATTTTAAAGTCTTGAAGATTACATTTTAATGGGGACAGGAGGAGGCACTTTGGATTCCCTTTAGGCCACTTAGCCTTGAAAGATGTTTAATTCTGAACTCTTCCTGCTTCTTAATTCATATTCAGGAGTCACTAAAATTTTTTTTCTGATCCTTCCATTTCCCATGTCCAGATCTGCATTAAGATGTCCTGTCTTTTAAATGGAAAGTTCCTGCTTAAATGATTGGATTGACTTGCGCAAAATAGTACAAATCGATTTGCTGTTACCACACATTGTGGATACGGTTGATGCATTCAATATATTATTTTAAATTACATATTATTATATAGGACGGTTATCATATATATACTTCAGTAATATTCAAAAACCCAGATTAGGTACAAGCAGAATTACTCAAATTTTTTTTTTTTTTTTTTTGTCTTTTGTCTTTTTCCGTGTCCGGCAACGGATTGCAACCCTCAGTGTCGCGCCCGTACCGGACCAGGGACCGGCAACGGGATTGCAACCCTCGGCGTTGCTCCCGCGCCTCGCTCAGCCAGTGAGCGGGAACCGGTCTGTATGTGGGATCCGAACCCTCGGGCGGGAGCGCCACCGCGCTTCCCAAGCAGCGCACTATCCAGTGCGCCACCGGGCCGGCCCCAAATATTTTTGAAGACAAAAAAAAAGATGATTTTGTTTTGTAACTGCTGTTAGCCAAGAAGCCTTGATTTCCTTGTATGTTTTAAAGCGTTTACATCATGATAATTAGTTTTAATTTACTTCAAAACAAGTTTGAGATGCTGCTTCTAAAAATCACTTTGAGGTAGCCAAATTTTATGTATTTGTGTGAGTGCAAAGAGAGAGAATTCAATAAAAAGTACTCTTTAGAGAGAGATTAATGAAAAAAAAATTCTTGTTTCAGGCCTAAAATTTGCCCTCAAAGTGTTTCCTTTCCACTGGATTCATACATTCTAAATCTGTGTTTCCCGAGAAGTGGTTCAGAGACTGATTTATCCGATCCCTGGAGGAACTCGTTAAGTCCGTACAGTCAATTCCTGGGCCCAGCTCATACTTTCTAACTCAAATTTCAGAGGGTGGTGTCCTGGAATCTACACCTTCACAAGCTTCCTTGGTGATTCTTATACCCATTAGGTCTGTGCACCATAACTGTAAACTCTGGCAATCCATTTTGGGTGTTATTAGCTGGTTTTAATGAGAACTTGGAGCTTTCTTTCATATGAAATTTGCATAAGGCTCATTAAGGTGACTCATAAGGAATCTCTGGGACCTGAACTTTGTGTACGGGAAACATACTTGTTGTAATCAGTAAGTGATAATGTAGTCTGAGTTTTAACAAACGCTCTCCTCCAGGCTTATTTGTTTCAAAACATTTTTTAAAGCATACCAAGCGTTGGCTTCACAATGAACACTGTTCTGTGTTCCTATTCTTAGACATGCATTGGTATTTCTTAAGTGTTTCAAGGTTATTTAGCAGAACAAGCTAAGGGGGGAAAATATTTATACCCCACCCTTTCCCTTTAACTGCAATCATTTTCTATAATGCCAGTAATTTTAGTTTTCCTGAACAGAGTCCTTTAAAACAAAGGCAGCGAGGTGCAAGACTGAGGTGACTTTTATTTACTTCTGTCCTGTGTCTAAAGTTTCCTGCCTAGAATTTAAAGCATGTTTATTAAATGAAGACTATTAGATTAATTCAAATTTGCGGTCGAGGATTTGCACTAAGAATTTAAAACTTGACATGACGATTCCCAGTTTGATCATAACTTTGGTCTCACATGGGCCTTTAGGATTTCTAGTTATGCCTTGTGGCGTGAGTTCAGTAATACTGATTACTACTTGTAGTTGCACAGCTGAAGTACGACTGTTCTGGGAGCCATAACTTTCGATCACCTGCCCTACCTGCTCGTTGAGGGTTCACACACAAGAGTCGTATCTCCTATAAGAATAAAAGCAGCATTAGAATCTACGCAGCTTGTGCAGGGTGCATGTTAAATCTAAGTTCTTTCATACTGCTTAGACTCTTATGAAATTGAAACATTGAGATGTAGGTTTTATGGGGCATTTGATAGTTCTATTTTAATAGACTCAGTTGATCCCCTTGCTTTGTTCCTAAAACCAGCCCTGTTGGTGGCATCTGCTGAGGCAGGGAGCCTTTCCCTGGACCTCCTGGAGACTGGCCTCTGCTGCTGTGTCACACCTGACCAGGACTCACCTGCTCCCCTGACTCAAGGACACCTCCCATCCCTGCCCAGCCATAAAGGCAGACATTTGCTACTTGGGATCCAGCGTCCCACTGTTCAGAATATAGTGAAATAAGTAGTTGAGAAAACTGGATATACATGCCACCCAAAGCTACCGAGTTCCTAAATGTCAGCCCTAGATCTTGACTAATTTTGAAACGTTAATTATCTTATCACTCTATTAAGAGGCTGCGGGCTTCATCCTGGCATTGAGAAGGGACTAATTTGCTCCTTTTCGGAATTGAATTAGCTTTTAGGCCAGCGGGGCACTGTTTGGTAAATTGCTTTTTCCAGCATGAGCTTGTTTTCTCCCTCGGTAGCCTCTGTTGGCTTCTGAGCTTGTAACCTCCAGGGACAGATGGGAACGCTCACCCTTGTGATATGCATGCAGAGCATGCAAGACCGCTGTTTTCTAGTAACGAGGCAGAGTTAGCCAGATGATCTCTGTTCAGTGCGAATGTTGGGAAGCAGCTTTCTACTTAGTTCATCCTTTGAGCTTCTGATGGTTTTTGTCTTTTAATTATTGACCTCGATGTTTTCATTTTAAATGTGCTTTTAAACGAGTCGCCCCCCTCTTCTTGGACAGAAACAAAGAAGGAATTTCGTGTGCCCCCTGCTCTTGGGGACCCTCTTTTTTGGCACTGCTTTACCAGTAATTGTCCTGGTCTTTTGTATTTGCCCAGAGTGTGCTGTTTCTTCATTAATTTCCCCCCAATAAAATAGCCTCTGAGGCCATCTGTTCAATCCTTCTCACTTGCCTGTTACATGTCATTTCCTTTCCTACACACCAAATTTTATTTTTAGTCTAGCGCTAGTTTCCTTCTCAATTTCTGAATAATTGTCTCTGGCATTTAAAAAACATACAGCATAATCTTTGGAGAAATTATAGAATCAAAAAGAATAACAATGCCAGGCCCCAGCACCTCTGTCCCCTGATGTGAGACTCCCCCTCTGTCCCCCATACACGCCCTTGGGAACGTCCCCTCCGACTGGTCTCTGCCTTCTAATGTGTTTTCAATACCTTGGCTCGGCGACATCTTCCACGCAATCCTCTTGTCCAGCGACAAGAGACATAGCTCATTTAGTGTGTTTTGTGGCAGAAATATTTAGGTAAGATTTAGGTATTTTCAGCTTTCAGACAAAGAGATGTGAACAGGTGATGAGCACCGTCCCAGGAGCACAGTGCTCTGTGGTTCTCCATTTGAACATGGGTCAACATAGAAAGACTTGGTTTTAAGTTGCAGCACAGGAGAGATCTTTTGGATGCCCACACAGTTCAACACTGGCATGAATTATTAATGGAGGATATGTCATCTCACTCCTGAAGATGTTTGGGACTAAATAGAAGGCAAAAAAAAAAAAAAAAGATACATTTACTCTTGAAGCAAAAATCTGATTTTAAATCTAGGAAAATGCATGGGAAAGTGTGGGCAGCACGAGGCTGCCCCCCTTTCTGTATTTGACATGTAAATAGGGTATTTAGGAGCCCTATCTCCACCCCACCCTGCCACATGGCTTGCTCTTTGAGGCCTGGGCTACCCCTGCTATGTCCTGCTTTTTGATGAGATAGTGTCTTCCTGTCTGTGCCAAGTATTTCTTTTTTATTTCCTGCCAGAACTTTTTGAACATGGGCTAAAGAAATAAGACCCCAATTTGTGCAGCAGTGACAGTGATGCCACCGGAAGATCAGCCTCTGTGGTAGAATAGTCCACGTCCTCCCCCCAGGATGTGGAAGGATGTACAGACATGAGACCTGGGGTCCGGCCCCCCGCTGACCCCTGCCACCCCATGGGGTCTTGCCATCATATTCCCTGTCATTCTTCCAACCACCAGCCCGCCAGACCCCCACACCGCCCTGATGCTGCCGTGATTGGCAGCTGCGAGAAGCTCTGCAGAGATGGGGTGAGGCTAGGGAGGGACCAGCGTGTTCAGAGCAAAAACTGCTGCTTCTGGCACCCCCGGCCACCCCCCAATTTCCAGAGATGGGCCAGGCTCAGGCCAGAAGCTACAGCTGTTCTAAGTTTAATGTTGAGCAATTGCATTTCTGATCACCCAGGGTGTGTGAAACCCAGACATGCCAGTCACTGAGACACTCACACAGGTGCCAACGGGGCGATTTGCCCTCCAAACACCGTGACTTCATGTGTGCACCTGTTTAGCTTATAAACCAGACGTGACTTGCATCGAGCTGTTGCTGTTTAGCGTATGATCTACATATGAACAGTATATATGTATATTTATATTTTTTTATAGTGGGAAAAGATTCTTTGAGAAACAGAGATGATACCTTCCCAAACAGTGCTGTTTCTTTCGTGTTAAGAAGGGTAATTTAATTTTAATTATTTACAAAGCTACTCAGTTCTGTAGTAAATGTACCGTGGTATGTTTTGTCCAGCTAATGATATCTTAATAAAAAGAAACTGTTCTTTTCAATCCTTAGATGCTACATCTTTGCTGTGAGTCAGACTGAGACCGCTGGGCATTTTATGAGAATCATTTGGTTTACACGGTGGTGGAAGGGGACTAGCAGGAGACGCCTGAAAGTTTCATATGTCCAAGTCTGTACGTAGAGATTAAGTGTATGGTCTCCTGTCTGTCTTTGGTGAGAAAACGGCTTTAATGAAAAAAGAGTCAAAATCTGAAAGGATCTTTAAAAACAGAGTAAATTTTTTTGCCTTAACTCAACGTTCTCAGATTCTGCCCTGCTTTTCTTTCAGACGTTTGCCACGTCCGTGTTTTCCACTCCACTGAGCCCATTTCTTGGGAGTGTGATTTTCCTCACATCGTATGTCAGGCCGGTGAAATTCTGGGAGAAAAACTACAAGTAAGATCCTAAAATCGATGCTGACTTGCCTTGCTCAGATTCACGCTTCCTCCATGAGAAGGTCCTGGCTCCAGGCTTCACCTGCTGTGGGGCGGGGACCCTGTCCCTGGTTGACGTCCTGGGTTCATTGACTCAGCTCAGGGTTTCAGGGCTCCAGAAGAAACATGACTAATTGCACATTTGCAATCGGGTACTAGTCCAGGAAGGAAATGCTAGTTTGTGCTGCCACATTCTAGGGGTTGACCCAGGAACGGGTGTTCAACAAGCCGTCTTCGTGTCATTTGCTGTGCTGAGATTGCCCCTGGATGTCGCCTTTCCCTTCTCTGGGTTTCCCTTCTGTCAGCGTCCTAAGACGCAGTCACACACACACACACACACACACACACACACACACACAGAGACACACACACACGCCCCTCACAGCTCTACACAAAATGGAAACTGATCTTCTGAGCACCCTGCAACTGGTAGAAAATGATTTACTCACTCTTTCTTGACTATTTGGACCAGACATAAATTTCCTCAAGCAAACAGGGAGGGAGCAGGGGTGTCATTTTTAAGGGAAGGTAAGAAGACTGGAGTCATGGTTCACTAAGTCATCTTAAGGACTTCCTTGGGCTCTGTGCGGGGAGGACTTGATGGCTGGGGAGGAGGGAAGGTGTGGGAGCCGGGCTGTCTTTAGGGGTGTCATTTTTAAGGGCAGATGAGAGGACGGGAGTCATGGTTCACTAAGTCATCTTAAGGACTTCCTCGTGCTCTGTGCGGGGAGGACTTGATGGCTGGGGAGGAGGGAAGGTGTGGGAGCCGGGCTGTCTTCAGCCGGGGCAGGGTCTGTCGGATGCTGCATGCTGGGCTGGACAGCCTCTTCAGGTCTCCTGTGCCCTGATTGAGTATCCACACCCTGCTACTGCATCCAAGCCCTAAGCTTTTTCTATATTGCTTTTACATTCTGCAGATCTCTGGCACTTTACCATGTACCTTTTATGCCTTACAGGGGCATTAAATTAGGGGACATGTGGTTTCGTGTTTCTCCTGCGAGATGGTTTATAAAATCTGCATTGTTCTCATGTGGGTGGGATGGTGTAGTGGTGAAAACCTTGGGCTGTGGCCTGCCCGGGTTCACACCTCCCCACGGACCTCACTTGTCCTCCTCTGTAAAATGGGGTGAAATAATAGGACCTACCTCGTGGATTTGTTGGGAGGAGAAAATGAATTAAAATACATGAGGCACCTAGGACAGGGCCTGGCTCATGTTAGGCACCACGTGAGCCTGAGCTGGTGTGATTATCCCCCGACTGCTCTGCAAAGAAGTCCCTGACCCTGCCCTGACCTGTGCTAATAGGTGTTGACCATGATTGAGTGTGTGTCCTCCTCAGGAGAAAATTAATCAAAGCAGACAGCCCCAGTGCTGGGTGACCACGAGCAGGTGGGGGAGACCCACAGCGCTCCTGGCAGATTTCTCGTGTTCTAAGACAGGTGGATTTTTTGCAATAAAAGTGTAGTCATCTTGAAATTTACACATAAACAGGGTTGCGTCTTGGCATTTGTTTAAAGTGATATGCATGTTTACAGAGCCAGAAAGTAAAGAAAACTACCAGTATCAGCTCGTCTTTAAGCTTTTCTAGGAGAAAACAATGCGGGGGACCCTTCTGGAGCTCTGACAGTCACACCTCTGGAAAGTGCAAAGGTTTGTAAACAAGGGGAGTGGCATTCTCTCTGACTTTTGCCTCTCCAGGGAGGGAAAGTACAAAATATTTTAAACTTGATCCTCAGTGCAAAACAGTTTTGTCTCATCTCCTATTCTCAGACAGGGAATCAGGCTTTCTGGTGTGGGAAGATTTGATATAAGCGAAACATGTCCCGGCTGAGTCGGAAAGAGTTTTAAGCGTCCCAGTAGAAAGGGTTGTGGAGGAATCCTTGTGTAGAGGCACTGTTGGAGGACCCTGACACCTGCACGGGGCTGCGTGCTTTGTCATGTGGCGCCCTCACGTCCACGGCCCAGCTGCCCTTTCCGGGTGATGTGTTTGGGTCTGAGCTGTGGGTTTATGTGGGTTGAATGCGTGGGTTTCTGGAGCAGGATTTGTGTGTTTCCTTATTCAGTCCCACATAGTATTGACTCTGCTACGGTCTATTTTTGTCATTGACACATAACATGACAGAGCACTAGGGTATATGTGGGAGGGGGTCTACCTTTGGCTGACCTTTTCGTGGCTTGGAAGGGGACTTCAGGGTCTGTGGCATGGGTAAGGATGTCCATGTTTTGCTAGGTCTCTCTGAAGGAGCCAACTTGTAGAAAATTTTCTGTTCCACTGGGATGAGGAGCTCTTGGTGCAAAATCCAGTCTGCTGAGGTCTGTCATTGCCTTTGGTGGCAGCCTCAGGACAGAAAGCTGTGTGCTTCAGAGCTCGGCCTGCATTGGACACCCGGGAAGGAGATGGCAGGGACTCTCATCTGCATCCTGCAGACACCCTGGAGAGCTCATCTGATCTATTTCAAACTTTCTTTTCTTTTCTTTTTTTAATATCAAATACTGATGATTCCTAGTGTTCTTCCTGGAGAGTTTAGATGTGACTGTTCTAATCACCTTCTTTTCAGTCTGTTACAAACGAGTGGTCAGTTAGTGTAATTGAATCTGTCTCGTTTCTTACTGGTTGTTCCACTGAGTTAAAAGGTGTCTCAAAGACACTCTCCTCCGGAGCTTTGGTGAGCACGTTCATCACAGTGAGCTGCCACCACCAGCCCGGGGTGGGATTGGGTGTCACCCACAGTCCCTCCTCCTGGGCCTCCTCCCCTCCCTGCTCCCCCACTTTCCAGTCCCTCGGTTTTTATTCCGGGTCTTTGAAAGCTGACTTTGGTTTTTTCAGGTCTCCAGTGAGCCCTGGCCTGTAACAAAACCATTTTAATACTCTAAGGAAGGGATAAGTACATCACCAGCTTCCTGATAAAGCTGGCTAGTCCGTTTTCCCCTGGCTGGCCTGTCCTGAGACTGCAGGCTTCCTGTCCCCTGATTCTAAGCCTCTGTGGGGCAGATGACAGACGTGTCCCCTGCCTGCCCTGTGACCTTAGCCTCCTAACTAACCTTCTCGAGAGTATCTTCCCACTCATAGCTCCAGCTTAACTGTCCTAAAACACAGCTGTCACATGCCTCTCACCCCTCCAGGCTCACCCCCCAGGCTCACCCCCCCCTGGGCCTGAGGATCAGGTAAAAATACCACCTAGATCAGCACTGTCCGGTGGAAGTTCTGGAGGAGAGAAACGCTCTGTGACTGTGCCGTCCAATGCAGCAGCCACCAGCCACACGTGGCTACTGAGCACTGGAGAGGTGGCTACTCTGACTGAGGAATTGAATTTTTAATTCTATTTAATTTTAATTCATTTAAATTTAAATAGCGATCTGGGATCAGAGGCTACCCTAATGCACAGTCCAGATACAGACCCTTCTCAGGTCTAATCTCACCTCCCAGCCCATGTCCCACAACACGTTTCCATATGGCACCTACTGTGGATTTTTCATTCCAACCTCTCCTTGGCTGTTCCCCTCACGTACAGCAACCTTCCTTCCATCACCCATCTGCACCTCCTCGCCAAAGCCCGCCTTAAATGGTGACTCTGCTGCGAAGTGGTCCTGATCACCTACTTAGAGGTTTTCTCCCTTTTCCTAAATCCCTATAACAATCTTCTGTTATGTTCTGCTTATCCAGTACTGAATAACAAGTTAGCACAACCCTTAGTGTCTTAAGACAACAACAAGCAATTCGGTATCTCTCGTGGTTCCTATGGGTCGGGCATTTGGGACGGGCTCTGCCGAGTAGTTGTGATCTGGGGTCTTTCATGCAGTTGCAGTTAGATGGTAGCTGGGACTGAAACAGCAGAGAACCGGACTCGCTGAGGACTAGCTGGACATCTCTGTCCCTTTGCACGTGGTCTCAGAGCCTCTCCATGTGGTCCTGGGCTGTGGTACTTTGGGCTTCCTCAGAACATGGCGGCCACGGGGCTCTGGCACATGCATCCTGGTGAGTAAGGTGGACGTCCCATGGCTTCTTCTGACCTAGCCACCAAAGCTCTGCAGCCTCGATATCGTCTCGCTCCATTGTCTACAAGCAAATCTCCAACCCCCTCTTGATGGATATGGGGTGAGGTTCTAGAAGAAATTGTATGATGAGAAGTACGATAGCAGTCATCTTTGGAAAATAAATTTGCTACGATGGCCATCAGTAGATCCTACCCAGGACTGGTGTAGGCTGTAGGTTTCCTTCAATTCTGGACTCATTTGTTTTCCATCTTTGTGTCCCTATGGGACCCTGCGCATAGTAGGTATAATGAAAATATTTCTTAAATGAATTAAGTCCAACGATATGATGTCCAGAGGGAAAGGAAATCTCATCTGAGTTTGCATTTGCTGGAACTAGGAAGTTCACTGCTACACTTATGTGCTCTTGACAAATGAGGTCTCTAAGATCTGTGTTTCTGAGCTCTGCCTGGTGCCCACCTTGAATCACAGACAACCTAGCCAGTGCTCTGTAATGACAGTGCTTGTGTTTGTACCTCTCCTGTGCCAGAGGACTTGAGAAAGCTTTAGAAACACATTCTAGTGTCATGATTTGTCATCCTTCTCTTTGCATATCAACGTTCACTAAGTAACCAAATGTTGTCATTAACATAAATCAAATGTTTAGACTGGAAGCTGTAGGACTCACATGCCCAGTCATCTCAGCGAGCATCTTTGTCCTAAGGGAGTTGCCGATCTGAAGCTCCCTAAAAGAGTGAAAACCCCCAGGAACAGTGATTTTGTTTCTAGAAGTCAAAAATCTTCTACAAACCGTAAAACACATGCAAACGTGTAACGGCTGAAAGGGAAATACAGCTTTCATAGTTGTTAAGTTTCTAGAATACTCTCCAGATGGGTTTTGAAATGTCACATCGCTCTGTCACAGTGTCCTTTACGACAGACATGCATTAAGTATCTCTGTGTGGGCACGCCATGCCGGGCTTCAGAGGAG